CCGAGTTACAGCAGTTTCTTTTTCTTCAGGAGCTTTTTCTGAATCTTGGATCTCAGGCACAAGCCCAGAGGCATGAGAGAGCTTGCCATATTGGACTCAGACGGAGAGTGTAGGGCAGTGGGGGTGGGTAGGCTGCTCCGCGGGGTCCTGGAGTCATGTGTGGCAGGCCTCTGTGGGTGCAGCAGGCCGAGCAGCACAGGTAGGCATGGGGTGAGTGGCTCTAGTCTGAAGAGTCTCCTCCCTCCAGCGGGTGGGTATGGCTGCTGGGGCCCAGCGGTTTGCAGGAAGCCATAGAGGCAACTGGCAGTGGGTGTGCCTGGGCACCTGGGGCCTCATTCCTGTGCCCCAGGAGCACTCGAGGCCATCGTGCATGGGCTTACCTGGGCCACTGCATGGCTGGGGCTCAGAACCCTGGGAGTGTGGCTAGGGCTGCCACGGACCCACTCCTGGCTGAGGTGAAGCAGGGACGTTGACACCGTTCTTGTGCCTTCGGGGACCTGATCCTGGGAGTGTGCATACGGGGCACCCACCTGGCACCAGGGCCATGCTCCAGCGAGGGCAGCCAGTGTTGTGATTCCTTCCCAGAGGAAGGCATGCTTCTCATTGCATAGCAGAGCCCAGGCCACCGTCCCAGTGACCATGTTTCCGGCTGCACTGCTAGGACCTGGGTGCAGCCCTGGGAAGGGCATCCAGTCCCTGCATCTGTTCACTCTCCTCACCTTCCCGTCCTTCCTGGGCACTGCCTGCCTGGCATCAACTCTTTTTTTTTTTTTTTTTTTTTGAGATGAAGTCTCACTCTGTTGCCCACGCTGCAGTGCAGCGGTGCAATCTTGGCTCACTACAACCTCCGCCTTACGGGTTCAAGCAATTCTCCTACCTCAGCCTCCGGAGTAGCTGGGATTACAGGCACCTGCCACCATGTCTGGCTAATTTTTGTATTTTTAGTAGAGATTGGGTTTCCCCATGTTGGCCAGGCTGGTCTCAAACTCCTGACCTCAGGTGAGCCACCCACCTTGGCCTCCCAAAATGCTGAGATTACAGGTGTGAGCCACAGTGGCTGGCTCTGGCATCAACTCTGGAGACCAATCCTTGGCTGCCCAAGGAGGCCTCACTCCCACTTCATTTGGGTAAACCACTGTTGGTCTCATCTTTAACACACAGACGATACGCGTTCATGACAGGAAAATTAGAAATACACAGAAGAGCAAAATATTTTGCTGTTTATCTTTTCAGATGTTTTTCCCTGTGCATTTTTATGTAAATACGTTTTTACTTAGGTGACACCATCATACACATACTGCTTTACAGGCTGCTGTTCACTCAGTGATGTATAGAAACTGTACACAGTACAGGTTTACAAAGCATGTGAAATACTACATGTCTCAGTATGATTTGTAATAGGGGCATAGTATTTGCTTGAATGGATACACTGCAATATGTTTAAATATGATTGTTGGGCATTTAAATGATTGCCACATTTTCACTGCAACACTCCACACTGTCACAACGCCCGTCTCCTATACATCTTTGCTGTACTCATGCAATTTCTTCCTCAGGCTAGTTGGCTGCAACGGGAGCTCCTGGACCAGTGGGCCTGCCCTTAAGCCTTTTGATATGTACAGAGACTCATCCTGTCAAAAGATTCCTGGTTTTCCTTCCCACAAGAGCCACCAGGAAGTCCCCTCTGGAGGGGTCCACCTTCCATTCTCCAAGGCTGCTTCCAACTGTAGCAAAGGTCTTCGTGGCTATCACTGAGTGGAGGATCACTCTGTCCTGCTCTCCATGAAGGGCCGGACAAGGGGAGGGGGCAGTGGGTCTGGGAGGAGACCTGGGTCCGAGGAGGGGTAGGTGGGTTCAGGCAGTCACTCCCAGTGGGGTGTGCTGGGCTGTCACAGGGTGCTGGGCCTGATCCTTGCTGAGCATGGGGGAGGAGCAGGGCTTGTCTGGGAAGACTTGGGTCTGCAGGTCTGTGCCTGGCTGTGGGAGTTAGGGGAAGGGAGTGCCCAGTAGGAGCAGGACTGGCCTGGACGTGTTGGGCCCTGAAGGAGAAGCAGGGCTTAGCTCGGCGGGAGTTGGGAGGGCATTTCAGGTGGGTGGGCCAGCATAAGCCAAGACGTAAGCCTTCCCTTGGCAGGGCTACCTTCCAGGGACTCCAAGGCACGTGGTCTGCTTGGAGCACAGTGTTGGTATTGCGAGGAAAGAAGCTGGCTCAGAGGACTGGGGATTTTGCTCCCAGTCTTAGAAACAATGGTGAACCATCAGGTGCTGAGTGAGAATTGAAGGCTGATGTGATCCAAGTGGAATTAGAGACCAATGAGTGTTGACTGGAGGAGGTGCAGATAAAGGCAGCAGGCCAGGGACCAGGGCGAAGGTCACAAAGGATTGTTGCCTAGACCTGGACAAAGTGGAGGGATAAGCCAGCTCTCCAGCTGGGACATAGATTCTAACCCTATTTTCCCACCCCACCCCATCCCCATCCCACCACACCCCACCCCACTCCACCCCATCCCACCCCATCCCCACCCCACCTCATCCCACCCCATCCCCACCCCACCTCATCCCATCCCACCCCATCCCACCTCTCTCCACCCCACCCCACCACATCCTACCCCATCCCATCCCATCCCATCCCACCCCACTCCACCCCATCCCACCCCATTCCCATCCCATCGCACCCCACCCCACCCCATTCCACCCCATCCCATCCCACCCCATCCCATCCCATCTCATCGCATCCCATCAGACCTCACTCCACCCCACCCAACCCCATGCCACCCCACCCCATCCCATCCCACTGCCTGACACTCATCACTTTAAAGCCTCCTTGTCTCAGAGAAGTGCCTGACACTTCATCGTTTGGAAAGACTCTACTTTGGCAGAGATTTTTCTGACCATTTCATATTTATTGTCTCATCAAAAAAGAAAATTCACTTGTGAGACACAGCCAGGCATGAGGGAAAGGAGTCCATGCAGATACACAGCCCTGGTCTTTGTGTGGCAGTAAACCCCAAGTCTTCTCGCTGGAGTCTCAGCTATAAAGAAGGGACTGAAGGCAGCATGGTGCCCTCTGCAGGGGACTGATGGCGTTTCCACCCAGCCCTGCCCTCCTTTGCTATGGGCCCCTCTGCCTCTGTCATTACACATAGGCAGAAGTGTCTGTCTTGACTTTGGAAGTGGCTTATTTGGTTCTGATTTATTGGGAAACTTCGAGGTAATGTAGCCATCAGTTTTGACAAGGGGAAACTGATGAGTCCCTGTATCTAGGACTGGGCCTGGGATGGAGTCCACTCCCAAAATTGGATGACTGTCACCTGCTTGCCACATTCATATGTGAAAGCCAGTGGCTGCAGTCCTTGAGGCCTTAGAAAGGAGTATATCTTTGAGGTGACCGGTGCAGTGTAGCAAGATTAGAAGGAACCTAAAGACTAAGGACTAGGAGATTCTCCTCCTGCAGGTAAAAAGCTGAGCTCAGAGGAAATGAGGAACTCTCCCAAGGTCTGTAGCCAGTCAGTGGCACCCAGAGACCCTGCTCATGTGCCCCGCCTATGGGGCCACTCCACAGGTCGGTGGATGGGGACAGTTGGGCCTGTGTGGCCCTAGGATCACCTGTGGAATGAGCGCCTCTCAAAAGAACTCTAACGTGGCAGCCTTGGTGCAGGGCTGGGCACGTGGGACTCCTGTTCACAGTGATGAGGTGCCATTCCTGGCACACAGCAGGCTTGGCCTGTCTGGGCTGCTCGTTCACTGCAGTTTATGGGAGAGCCAGCTCTTGCTGACGTGGCGAATTTGGTTAGCTCTCATCCCCCTGCCCTGTCCATTTGAGTGTGCCCCTGACCTCCACAGAAACGTGCCCAGGCCCTGCCAGCTGGCAGCAGTGCTGAGCTGGTCAGATCCTAGCCCTGGAGGGGCCCAGGAGATGGACAGCCCTGGAGAGAAAGGTTCTTCTACTTTGCAACTATGCCAGCACAGCCAGGGCCCTGCTTCCTGTCATGTCCACAAACCTGAGCCCACAGCCCTTCTCTCAAGGCCCAAGGGATTGGCTGTGGCCACTCAGGGCTCCCAGCAGCTCTGGGTCACTCCCAGCCTGAAAAGCCAGCTTCATCACTTTGGCCGCTCCTCTAGGGCAAAGGCCTTCAAGACCACCACAGCTCACCCCTCATGGGCACGGGAGGGCAGCACTGGGCTCAAGGGCAGGGGGGCAGCAGGCAGTGCGGCACCCTCTGGGCAGCATGAGCAGCATCAGGCTCAGGGGGCAAAGCAGGGCGAGAAGACGCAGAGGAAGAGGAAGCAGAGCGTGAGGCAGGCGTGACCCAGGGGTGAAAGGAAGCCCTTACCACATTGCCACACTCACCTGGTCCCTGAGGGCCACTAGGATTTGGCAGCATGGCTGTGGGCCTCCCCCACTGAAGGCGGAGCCAACCCCCGAAGCAAACAGGGCTGCACAGCCCAGACCATTCTAGTGCTGGCTGAGGTCCGCCCACCACCCCTCTCCTAGCTGATGACTTGACAACTACCGCCAGTTGACTCCTGTTCAGGTGGTGCCGGTACTTAGAGGAGCATCAGTGCATTCCATCCTCACAGCGGCCATAAAAGGTAGATTTTTTTTAAAAACTATCATTTTGCAAATGGTGAAACTGAGGCAGCTCAGAGAGGTTAGCTGACCCACCCAAGGTCGGTTGGAAAACTCCTAAGGGGCGAGAATCAAGGTCCAACACCAAAGCAGCTGGTCCCGCAGCCTGTCCCTCCCTACAGGCCATCTGCCTGCCCTGAGTTCACCAGTGCCAGCTTCCTGCCCCACACTCCCCAGTCTGAGCCAGGCTGTTGGCACTGTAGGAGCTCATGTTCTCCTGTTATCAGAGATCGTTTTGAACAGACAGTCCCTGGCAACCCCTGAGCTCCACATTCTTTAGGTGAGCAGTCTTGGGCAGGCAGATGGGTGCGCTGCTGGGCAGCAGGTACAGTATTGCTCGCCCCTGGCTTCTGTCCACACTTAGTGGACAACTCTTGCCAGCCCCGATGTCCAGAGGGCAGTCTGGATGATCTGAATGCACCAGGACCCTCATGCTCACCTGCAAGACACTAGAAATGCATGAAGGGACAGCATTTGCTTGCCTCTGTCCGCAGCAGCCCTGCTGAATAACTGAGGAGACCTACGGAGCAATCACCATGAGTATCTCAGCTCTCGGAGGCAGCACCAAAGGTGAGGCTGGACTCCCTGTTGTCCTGGGCTCTGCTTGGGGCTGTTTTCTTCCAAGCCTGCCCCTACAGGCCACAAGCACTGTCCCAGCAGCAAAGGGAGAGCAGCATACTGGGAGGACTAGAAAGGAGGTGGAGGGTCCTGGGGCTGGGCTCCTCTTCTGAGGCGGTTGGCTTTGCCCACTGCAGGGAAGCCTCTGCCACCTGGTGAGGAGGAGCGCAATAACGTCCTCAAGCAGATGAAGGTGCGGACCACGCTGAAGGGGGACAAGAGCTGGATCACCAAGCAGGACGAATCGGAGGGCCGCACCATGTAAGGCAAGGAGGCCAGGAGGGAGCACAGCAACATGGGGGCATGCTGTGCAGGGGCCCCGACCCTCCCTGGGGATGCGGAGGGGCTTCCACCATTCAGAGCTCTGCTGGGCTCTATAGAGGGCACAGCATGGGAAAGCCTATCCAGGAATGTCACAGATGTCACAGGGTGGGAGAGCCCCTGGGTGCTGGGGAAGGAAAATGTGAGGCAGAAATGGCAGGACTTGCCGGGCAGCCTCGAGAATGGAAGCCACAGAATGGCAAGCAGCAGGGAGGCTGGGAGCGTCTTTCAGGACACCTCTTTCCCCCAGAGAGCTGCCCTCAGGCCGGAGTCGCACCACTTCCTTCTCATCCTCTGGGGAGGTTCCGAAGTCCAGGTAAGAGTTGCTGCCCAGGTGGCTGGTTGGTCAGCCCCAGGGACTCTCCTGCAGCTTGGGGCCAGACCTCAACTGGGAGGGGCGGGCAGTTCGCAGGGGACAGGGATGCAGCGCCAGCCAAGAGAGAGCATGAAGGGTCTGCAGTGAGTCATTTGAAATCCGCAGGAAGGAGGGGCTTTTCCACTGCACTTTCCTTTTGGGAAGGGGAGTGTACAAGTCACTCGGTCCAGGCCCTTAGCCTTGCTGTGTGGCTGTGGGGAAGCCAGCTCCCCTGCTGCACCTCCATGGCTCCCGCTGTCAACTAGGATTGCAATTGTCTTTAAGAAGAAGACTATTATTTTGACCTCCCAGCCATCTCTGCAGGGAGTGAGACTGTGTCACAGTGACTCACTCCTGCAGGTTGTACTTGGGACGAGTTTGCTCTGTCTCCCAAGTTGACCGTGACATATTTTGGCAGTCCACCAAGGAGAACTGGCTTCTCTCTTTTGGGTACTTTTCCATAACAGTGTCCAGGGGAACTCTGAAGCGTGGGCACACCCTGCTGGCATCTGGAGGAACTGCTCCTCACAGAAAGGGAACTGAAATTCAGGCTCACTCCTTGCTCCAAACAGCCGGCAGGTGGCTTTTCAGGGGTGGTAGAGGCAGTGGCATCTGGAAGGGAGTGTCTCAAGCTTACAGCCGGCCCTCGGGGCTGCCCTTAGTAACTACGTCTCTCTGTCACCCCTCAATGACTCCTCGCCTACTACCTGCCAGGTCCCCTGCTGGGCACAGAGGATGCAGTAGTGGTCAAGACAAAGGCCATGTCTTCAGGAAACTGACATCCCAGCAGGGGACTCAGGGAGGACCCCACTAAACAGCCCAATATGAAAGAGAGAACCCCCAAGTGTGGCTGCAACATGGCTACCTCTGGGAGGCTGTCCCCTGTTAGGGAAGGAGGCTGTGGGGTTGGAGAATGCTGGGGCTCTGCGCTACCCCTGACCCAAATCCCGATGTTCCAGCCCAAATCTCCTCGACTGCTGGACAGAAAGGTCTACCCTGACCCTGTGGCTCCTCCCCAAACCCTGAGGAGGACTCTGCAGGGACCCTTCACTCCTGAGCCCAGAACTTCCAGGCCAGCCACCCTGTCTGTTAGCTCCCAGCCTGCTTGCCTTGGCTTCACCCCCATCCCACTCCCAGTCCGTGGAGTTCTCTGAGCCCCCTCAGTTGCTGCCCCGCAGGAGGTCCCCAGCACCCAGAGCCTAACGTTTCCCAGCCACTGAGTAAGCCCTGGCCATGCCCTTTCGTATCAAACTTCCACCAAGACTTGGGATGTGGACATGGTAGGAGGCGGAGCACAGAGGGCCTGAGGGACAGGAAAGGGGACAACTGACTTTGGCTGGCAGCTGCCTGGCCTCTTCCCCTCAAGCCCTCATGCGCCTTCCTGGTAGAGGCTGTCGGCGGGGAGATGAGGGCAGGCCCCAGGTTGAGGGGAAGCCTCGGGCTCTGACCTGGGAGCCTGGAGCCTGCGCTGGCTCTGCCCAGAGGGTGGGAACGCTCCCTCGGCGCAGCACTGGGGCCCGGCCGGCCAAGGAGAAGCTGGACTTTGGAGAGGCTGTTGAACTGCCTTCCTTGGCACCTGCCATGAGGAGTCACCCTGGGCACTTTTCCTGGGGAAGCATGAGGGCACCTGGCTAGGGGCACAGAGGGTTGGCACTGGGACAGCTGGAACACTTGTCAGCCAACCTTATTTGCTATAGATAAGGGCAGGATAAATAAAGTAGACTGAGCTGAGCCCTCCAGCAAGCCTCGCTTCACTCCACCCCTCCTTCCCTTCTGCAGGCCTCCGAGCACCAGGGCTCCCACTGGCTACATCATCCGGTAAGTGACCACAGGACTCTGCCAGCCTTCCTATGTCCCCTCGCACCACCCCCTGACTTCTTACCCTCCAGCCTCTCCAGGGAGCTCAGCAACATCTCCTGTGCTCTCTTTTAGGGGAGTGTTCACCAAGCCTATAGACAGCTCTTCCCAGCCCCAGCAGCAGTTCCCCAAGGCCAATGGGACTACGAAAAGGTGCATCCAGGGGGTGTTGGCTACTCGGCCAGTGGGGAGGTGTGAGGGCCTGGCCTGGACTCGTGGCAGAGAGAGCGCTCTGCCTGTCAGGGGTGTGAGGCCTTGGAGGTGCCAGCTCTCATCTTCTGTAGGGCAGGATGCTGGAGAGCAGGGCAGGGAGGACAGAGGAGATGAGTTGCGGTGGGTCTCTGGGAGGTCCTGGGCCACTCACAGTGTCCTGGTCCTGGGGTCAGTCCTGACTAGGTCTGGCTACTGGGATAGAGAGGTGCAGGAGTTTGGGAGGGGCTGGGTGTAGAGTCTCCGTGGCCTGGCAGTGGGCACCCTTGATTTGGCTTGCTGATGGCATTGAGAAGGCATATGTGGCATGCCATTCGAGCACCTTGGCATCAGGTGCCACCTGGGGCTCCATCAAGCTGGAAAGTCCAAGGGGACCAGGAGACAGGAAGCAAAGACACAGGCAGCAACCCACTGGGCTGTTCCCTGAAGCTCGCTGGGGTTTGTCTGTGGCAGCCGGGGCTGCCCTGCTCTGAGTGGCGCAGTTCTGGGTGTCTGCCAGGGCCAAAAGCAAAGAGAAAAGGCCCTCAGGCAGCTCCTGGTCCATGTGTCACATGTCCACTGGGCTGTGTGGCCAAATCTGGAGGCAAGAGGGGGCCTGCAGGTCAACACATGGAACCTTCTGCTCTCTAGTGCTGCCAGTCCGGTGAGAACAGCTAACACGGGTCCTCCCCACCCTTCCTCCTCTGGCTACAAGATGACCACTGAGGATTACAAGAAGCTGTGAGTATGCAATGCCAGGCTCAGCGTGGTTCCCTCCTGCAAGGAACCAGTCCAAACTCTAGGTCCACTGAAGGCGGCTGGCTTCCCTGCCTCCGAGTGCAGCCCAGGAGGTCCCACCTGCCTGACACTCCCTGCCAGTTGCAGCTGTGGCCTGGAGCCCACCAGAGGGTAACAAGCCCCAAAAAACTGGATGGCCATTCACATTGCACGTCTGATCTGAGGCAGGGCAGTGACTGCAGGAAGCTTGTAGGAGGGTCCCCACGCATCTGGGGAAATGGTCATGGGTCATGGGGCTGCTGCTGCCCGGCCGTGCTTCCTGGCCATGGCCCTGCCCTCCGCCGAGCGTCAGATGCTCTGCCTGGCTGGGCTGGGGGCCTGGGGATCCTCAGGATGCTGTTGCCGCCTGAGCATCATGTGCCTAAATTTGAGCTGCCTCTTGGATAGAAACCTTTGGGGTTCCCCTTAGTGCTCCCCTTGGGGTCCCTTTCAAAGCACACCACCCCCATTGGATGCTCAGAGAGGGGAGTCTCTGGACAGACATGGAAATGGTGCCACCAGTTCCCAGGGGACCACATCTTGATGTTGTTTGTCCCTTGCTTCCATCATCCAGGGATGGGGAGCAGCTGGGAAACCTTTCTGGGGAAGCAGGGGAGGCTCGAACAGGGAAGGAGGGGAGAGCTGGCTCTCAGGAGGAACAAGTGGCATGAGCTAAGGTCCAAAGATACCGACTTGCCGCATCACTGTTGTTGAAAACTGGGGAGCCCAGATGCTGAGGGCGACAGCCTATGACAGGAAGGCACCTCTCCCCTCTCTTAGGGCACCCTACAATGTCAGGTGCAGCTCTACATCAGGGGACATCGAGGAGGAGGAGGAGGTGCCTTTCTTGTCAGATGAACAGAAACGGAGGTAATGGAATGGTGCCTTTTGGGCATCTGGGGGCAGGGCAGGAGCCTGAGTCTTTGAAGACTGCTGGAATGAACTATACTGCTTGGGGCGACAAAATGCACAACACGGCCATCCGCGGTAGCACACGGGGCATGAGAATAGGTGTCATTCTCTGAGTACCAGAGCCACCCACTCAGTGTTGGGCCAGCTGAGGGGCCCTTGAGAGCCTTCTGTGGTGTGGACCCTAGGTAATGCGGGTCCAGGGAAAAGCCTCAGTTTGTTAGAAAGGGCCCTGAGACAGTTGGACAAAAACATCCAGGGAGAAACTGCCTGCACAGCATCCTCTACTTGCATGATCTGCATGCCTTAGGGGAAGGGGTTGACGCCACACTTCCGAATGCCCCTGGATCCCAAACTTAGGTCTAGGCATGGACAGCAGTGGGAGCGGGCCCCATGCTGCTGACATTCTACCCCAGCCTCTATGCCAAACTGGCCTCATCCACACAGGCCAGCAAAGCTCCATGGACCCGAACGGATGAAAGGCTCATCTGTCAGCCCTTGCCCCTCCTCAGCCCTCTGTCCATGGGTACTGACCTCACACCCCTCAGTGCTGGTGAACTGTGACGGGAAGGCTTTGCCGAGCACCTTTTGTTTGCCTTCGGCTTGGGGCCTGGACGGAGTTGGGCCCTGAGGAAATAGCGCCCTCCCTCCCTGGGCTCAGCCTGCCCCCAGTTCCAGATCTGCTGACCCATCTTGTGGCTCAGGAAGCACAGCAAAGCCCTATTGCCAAAGGCCCTGGCAGATTGGCAATGTTCAGGGGATAGTTCACAGTGGCAGGGCCCCCAGGCCTGGGTGGAGCAAGGAAAAGAGCCAGAAGCTAGGAGCCTCCTAGCATTGAATGACGGCTCTACCACCTGCTAGGTGAGTGCTCTTGGACAAGTGATGAAAGCTTCTTGGCCTCAGTTGCCTCATCTGTAAATCACAGAGGATACTAGCGCCTACCTTCCTGGACTAAGAAGAGCAATAAGCCAATGTGAGGATGTTGGCATCAGGGGCAGGGCCGGGCACACGCCACACACTCAATAAACATGGGCTGCCCTTCCTTCAGTTTCTACATTTCCTTTGAATGGTCCTTGGAGCAGGTACAAATCGGGCTTCTCTGAACCCTCGCCATCCCAAGTCCATCCCAGGCTAGGCTGGCAGTGCATGTCCAGCTTGGCACCCATCAGATGCTCTCTCCCCACCGTGTCACCCCAGGTCACAGGCTGCGAGCAGTGTTGTGAGGAGGACAGCTCCCCGGGAGCACTCGTACGTGCTGTCAGCAGCCAAGAAGAGCACGGGGTGAGTTGCCGCCATCCGGCTCCGCACGCAAGGACAACTCTCCTCTCCTTAGGGTTCAGTCTTCTCTGCCTCATGAAAGGGTGGGTGGAGAGGTCACCCCCAAGGGCATTCCTAGCTGACCCTTCTCAGATTCTCAGATGCACTTTCTAGAAAATGGAGAGGTCTGGCAGCTACCGTCAGGGAAGGTGAGGTGACGGGAGTGGGAAAGGGCCCAGGACCCTCTGTGGCAGAGCAGTCGTGATGTCACCTGCCCACGGGCTGTGCCCAACACATTGCCTTTCTGCTTCCTTTCCAGTACTCCTACACAGGAGACACAGGCTCCGTTTATTGCAAAGAGGTAAGTGTCATCAAGGGACACCCTGGAAGCCTGTTACTGGCCACAGGAAGGCCTTCCGTCCGCAGGAGTGTAGTGTGGGAGCTGTGCAGAGAGGATGTGGGTGGGGACACTACTGTCCCTGAGCAAGGGGAGTTGTGAGTGGCTGGTGGCTTCTGTCTGGAGGCCAAGCAAGCACCTGCGTGGCTATGGTAGCATATGGCTAATGGGGCTGGACCCTTGACCCAAGATGAAGCATTTCCAAGGCCCTCTGGGAGTTGTTCCCCTGCCCCTGTTGCTTGCCTCTTGCCTTGCCTTCGCTGTCATCCAGAATCAAAACCTGGGCCATCAGGAGAACTTCCCCTGGGACGTGACTATGACATTGGAGATGGGCCCTAAAGGGTGAACAAGGCTTACCAGGGAATGATCAGAAAGTCAGGACATTCCAGCTGAGTGAAGGAGGGGTGTCACCACTAGTTGAGACAGGCTGCCTTTTGGAGGAGGAAAATATTCGGGGGAAAGCAGGAAAGAGACTTCTGGAAGGTTGAACTTGAGGGACTTCCAGTTGAGTGGACAGGAAAGGCCTCTCTCCACACTGAGGTGGCTAGCTGGGGACTGAAAACCCAGGAGAAGCCAGCATATCCACTGCCCAGGGCAGAGGGCCCCACGGTGCACAGGCCCAGGGTCGGACTATCTGCTGCATTGGAAGACAAGGTTGGCAGGAATCCAGTGAGTAGAGCTGGTGGCAGCACAAAGGAAGTGACAGAGAATGGCGGGTGGGGGTCTTGCTGGCCCCATTTGGTTCCCGTGAATGGCTTCAAACACCACAAAGGGATTCTCTCCCAGTTCTGGAGACCAGAAGTCTAGATCAAGGTGTTAGCAGGGTGGGTTCCTTCTGGGGGTTCTGAGGGAGACACCATCCCAGGCCACTCTCCTGGCTTCTGGCGATGCTCGGCGATCCTTGGCGTTCCTCGGCTTGTACCTGCATCACTCCAGTCTGTGCCTCTGTCTTTACATGCCCTTCTTTTCTCTGTGTGTCTGTGTCCAGATTTCCCTCTTCTTAGAAGGACAGCAGTCATTGGATTTAGGACCCTCCTACTCCAGTATGACCTCATCTTACCTGATTACACCTGCAAAGACCCTTTTTCCAAATAAGGTTACAGTCACAGGTTCTTGGGGACATGAATTTTGGGGGGACACTGTTCAACCCAGTATGCTGTCCTTATCTTGAGCTGGAGTTGCTGAGCCCCCTTCCTGGGCCGCCTCTTGGACCTGATCCTGAAGGGTTGGGCCAGTTAGACACCATTGAAAGCATGTCCTTCGAGGCCTGCAAGCTCCAGGGCAGCCAAGAAGACCACGAGCTCCATTTATCTTCTTGCCCAAAGGGTGGAGGTGGTGGAAGAGGACGGGCCTTCAGAGAAGAGCCGCAGCCCACCTGCTCTGGCAAGATCTACCCCTAGCTCAAACAGGTAATCCATTGCACTCATCTCTGCCACTCAGTCACTGAGGAACCTCTGTCAGGGGACCTCCATGCTGGGCTTCGAGATCAGCGTCCCTGTGTGCCCAGTGACAAGATGGGACACAGAAGTCAGTGAGGGCCCATCTGGCTGAATGTCCCAGGACTGAAAGGAGCAAAACAGTCCAGCCTCCAGAAAGACAGAGTGCCTGGCTCTTGTCCGTCGAGTATGTGTCTGTGTCACCTTAACCCTTGCACTAGTGAGTCAACCTTGGGGTTTGAGAGGGCCAGCCACCATGGCAGTAGCCTGCCACTATCGGACTTGCTCCTCACACTCCAGCACGCCCAGGGGGAGGCTGTGACATCTCCAGAGCCTCTCACAGCCACCTTCGCCAGTGCGGATGGAGGCAGGACCAAAGCATCTCGGGCAATTTGGATCGAGTGCCTGCCGAGCATGCCTAGTCCCACTGGGAGTCAGAGGCTCAGGTGGATGCCGAGAGCTGACTCTGCTTATGAGCAGGTGTGATGGCTTCCCGCCGGCCTGGCTGGCTGGTTCTGCCAGCTGGGGAGGGTCTGACAGTGGGGTGACAGAGCAGGGACAGGCTGAGCACAGGTGATCTCACTCCAGGACGGGCCATGATTTGTCCTGATTTCTGATCCCTGAGAATCTGTGCAGATAATGGTGCTCTCTTGTCTGTGGACAACTAATACTTTCTTGTACTTTGTGTGGAAACGTGTTAACGCCTGCAGGGAGAGCCACCGCCCTGCTGTTGCTGCTGTTTAAGGTGTCTGCCTGGATTGAGACCTTTGCTCAAATCCTGGTCTCCTAAGAGCCACATCTCTGTAGCACCCTTGGAAGACCCCTGTAGCCGGAAGGCAAGAGTGCGTGTCCTAATATCATAGCAATCCCCCAATTTGAGCTCCACAGTGATTTATAGACAGGTGACCGCTGTTCTCAGGGTTACTTCCTCAGTGCCAGGAGGGAGACAGAAATGCTTGCAGCAGGAGCCAGGAGCACGAGGCCAGCTTCCTCCATGGGCCCGGGCAGCAGACTGCCGAGTGCTCCTCCTTTTCACTCTCTCCCTCTCTTGATCTTCTCTGCTTGCCTGACTCTCCCATAAGAACTTCCGTCCATAAGAAGCTTTGAAGATGTGGAAGGGGAGATTTCAGAACTGTCTCTTTTTTTTTTTTGAGAAGGAGTCTCGCACTGTTGCCTGGGCTGGAGTGCAGTGGCATGATCTCGGCTCTCTGCAACCTCCGCCTCCCGGGTTCATGAGATTCTCCTGCCTCAGCCTCCCAAGTAGCTGGGATCACAGGCACACACCACGACACCCAGCTAATTTTTTGTATTTTTAGTAGAGATGAGGTTTCACTATCTTGACCAGACTGGTCTCAAACTCCTGACCGCATGATCCGCTCACCTCATCCTCCCAAAATGCTAGGATTACAGGCATGAGCCACCGTGCCCAGACCCTAATCACTTCTTAGAAGGACATTGGTCCTATTGGAGTAGGGCACAGCCTAACAACTGTATTTTAACTGAATCACTTCTTTAAAGATTTCATCTCCAAATGCAGTAACATTCTGAGGTACTGGGGTTAAGACTTCAATGTATGAATTTTGAGGGGCCCAAGTCAGCCCATAGCAGTATACACTTCTCATTTCTCCTTATTTCTCTGCTGAAGAAAGGCAACAAATGGTTTCAGGTGTCTTTTAAAAGATAATATAGGAGGTTGGGCATGGTGGCTCATACCTGTAATCCCAACAGTTTGGGAGGCCAAGGCAGGAGGATGGCTTGAAGTCAGGAGTTTGAGACCAGCTTAGGCAACATAGCAAGACCCCATCTCTACAAAAAAAATAAATAAAAATTAGTTGGGAGCATTGATGCACACCTGTAGTCCCAGCTACTCAGACGGCTGAGGCAGGAGGACCACCTGAACCCAGGAGCTGGAGGCTGCCGTGAGCTGTGACTGCACCGTTACCCTCCAGCCTGGGCGACAGAGCAAGACCCTGTCTCTAAAAAAAGAAACAAGAGAGATGATGGAGGATAATTAGATTGTTCTAATTATAGATTCTATTATAGATTTAAGAGGCACCCTGACATTTATTCCAAAAACTTCCTTTGGATGTTTAACACCCATCATATGGTTGTCACTGCAGGGTGGCTTTTTAAGGTTGTTCAGGCTGCCATAGCACATACAGGCTAGAGATTCAGGGTCCAGGGGAAGCTCCCAAAAGGAGGCTCAGCTTGATGCTTCTGATAGTTCTTCCCACCGATTCTGGTCACTCAATATTTGGAGCCCACCAGGCAGCTTCCAGGAGGCTGGCTGATCCTGACCCGGGAGGGCCGTCTTCTCTGACCCTACCCCGTTAGGTGCTGCACTGGGTCAGGCAGCCACCATCAGTCCTTGCAGGCCCAGCTCCCATCTGCCTGGCGTCTGAGGAGCCCAACCCGTGAGGAGCAATGACTCAACCAAACTCAGAGGCCTGCAGCGCCTCAGAAAAGGCTGGTTTGTGGCACAGTGGAAGAGGAGAATGTCATAGCCCTATCCCCAGGCATAACCCCATCAAGGCGGCCTTCTCCCCACCCCTGGCCCTGCCCTGTCTCTCTCAGCTTCTCAGAACTCTTGCCCCCCTTGTGACCTGAGCGCACGCACTCTAGGGACCCTGTCTTGGAGAAACTGGTTCTGCGCGAGCTGTTTTATCCGCAGCACTGGTCAAGCTGGCCTCACCTGACCGGGGCAAGGCCTCCTGAGTCCTGGTCCTAGGCTGTGCCCAGAATGCTGCCTGGCAGTGGGTCTGGGGAGCAGGGAGTAGGAGCAGAGCTTCGGGCACAGGACAAAACCCTGGCTTTGCATCAGACCGACTGTGTAACCTTGAGCAAGTCTCTGTCTCTCCGTGCATCGGTTTCCCCGTGGGTAAAACAGGGAGAGCAGTAGTAGCTACTTTCCAAGGCTTTTCCAAATACTAAGTAAGATAATGCAGCTGAAGTACTTAGCACAGTGCCTGGGTGCTGGATCCTCAGGTGCTCCCAGTCAGTCCTGCTGAGCTACAGGGGCCCTTATTCAAACTCAGAAAGAGACCAATATCTCCACCTGCTGGCATCTGAGGGAAATGCAGCCAAAAGCAGTGAAAATGAGGTTCCTCCCCTCCACCTGCCCCCACATCCCCAGCGTCCCTGCTGTTTGGCAGGATGAATCACAAGTCACACACCACTTGGCACAGGCCACAGTTACTTGCATTCCCACAGGTGGCTGTGATCGGTTTCAGGCCTCCGGCTTCAGCAGATGCCTCTGTTCCTTGAGTGCCTTCCAAGGGTGGGCAGCCTCCCAGTGTGGTCCTGGACTTCAGATGGACTAGAGCTGCCTGTGGTTGAGAGTCTGGGGTGGTGGTGGGACTGGTAGCAGCTTGCAGGGGAGGAGAGACCCCTGTATTAGTTTACTGGAGCTGCTGTAACAAGGTACCAGAAACAGTGTCCTAAAACCACAGGCATTGATTCTCTCAGAATTCTGGAGGCTAGAAGTGTGAGATCAAGGTGTCGGCAGGCCATGCTCCCTCCGAAGGCTCTGGGGGACCATCTGTTCCACACCTTCCTCTTCCCTTTTGCTGCCTCCTGGCTTGCACCCCTCTCACTCCCATCTCAGCCTCCGTCTTCCCTCCATGTCTGTGTCCAAATGTCCCTGGTCTGACACCAGTCACTGGGTGAGGGCCCACCCTGCTCCTACAGCATGACCTCATCTTACCTAGATTATAGCCACAAAGACCGTCTGTCCAAGTGAGATCACATCACAAACCTCAGGAGTTGAGACTTCAGTATGTCTTTTGGGGGAACACCATTCAACTCCAAAACAGCCCTCCTGGGAGAGGTGCCATTTGAGTTTGGGGGATGATAGAGGAGGAAGCCATTGAGGGAGAGACATCAGCTTGGGCAGAGGCACAAGGGCATGAAAGAGAGAACAGGCTGGGGTGACACTTTGTTCCCATTTCGTCCGTGACAGAACCACAAACGCCAATGAGAAAATATGTTGTGCTTCTCTGTGGCAGCCAGGGCAGCCAGGGTTTTTATACTGTCATCATAAATGACATCATCCTCAACAACGATGTCATCATTATCATGAAAGAAGATGGGGAGAAGCCAGAGCTGTCTGTGTGTATAGGGCCCCTCCTGGCTTTCATACTGGGAAAGGCCTTCTCCTTGGTAGCCCTCCCATTTCCCTCTGGTAGCTTTGAGTGCTCCAGGCCCTGGCCAGGGTGGAAGTGGAGGGACAGAGATGAGCAGCCACAGACAGTCAAAGGCAGGAGTGACTGCAATGTGGCTTAGGATTAGGCTTTGCTCCACGAGCCTAAAGAGGTCTGCTTTGGGGTGAAGTGTCTACCCCACAACGCCTGTGAACTGTATATTCTCTCTGGCCCTGGCCAGCACCATATCCAAACCTGCTGGGCGTCATGCCTTGCAGTGCAGCCAGAGAATGCATCAGATTTGGAGGATGTATGTCCAGGGTGGCCTGTGGTCACCTGGGGGAAGGCTCTGAGCATGGCAAGAGGAAACCTCACGAGGGCCCTTTGTGAACTGGCCGGGCTTGCAGACCCCTGAGCACTTGTCTTCACCCCTGACTCTGTGACATCCACTCCCACCGGGTCTCATTCCACATTTGGGTTTTCTCAGCCTCTCATACCCCTAAGTCTCCACCAGCCCGCAAATGCAGAATTACCCCTGCCTCGCAAATGGCCACTTTGAATCTCCTGGTGGGGCCACAGGCTGGGATTGCCCCTGCAAATGGTTGGTAGAATCACGGGTCAGGAGGTCTCATTTCTACCCAGAAGGACCCTTGCTGTGCCTGAGGCAGGGCTGGGCTCAGGGCAGGGGTGGGAGACTGGGGAAGGGGCCCTTGATGCCCCTTCCTCTGGGGCCTGCAGGTCAGTGGCCCGAGCTCAGCTGCAGCAGCAACAAGGCTCAAGACCAAGGAGGAGACGAGAGCAAAACGAAAGGGGGCGGTGCCTGGGCAGGGGTGGAAATTGTCCGCCTGCAGATCCTGACACCCAGGCCCGAGCTCAGCACTTTTCTTACCTGCAACCCTCTGGGTCTCTCCTTTGGCCCACAGCTCCAGAGGTGAGGAAATTGTCCGCCTGCAGATCCTGACACCCAGGGCAGGACTCCGCCTAGTGGCCCCAGACCTGGAAGGCATGAGGTATGGGGCTCCTGCTGCTGTCCTGGCTCCCTGCACACATTCTAGAGATGGAGGCAGCAGCCTCAGCTGGCAAATGATGAGGCCTAGGGCTGGCCCTGCCACTGTAGGGCCAACAGGTTGGTGGGAGGCATGGTCGACCTGGGTTCTCTGCCCTATCTCATTCTTTCACTCAGAAAATCATTATGGAGTAAGCACTTGGTCTGTGGAAGGCCACAAGCCCAACCCTGGGACACAGTAGTGAATAGGACCCTCGGCTGGAATTGCCGTCTGCCTGGTGGGGAAAGGCAGATGTTAACATGAGCATGAGTAAGTTCAGCCAGAGCTGCTGACCTTGCTGTGTGATAGGAGTCGCTGGGAAGTGACAGCTCAACCCTGCCAATCCCTGAAGATGGGCTCAGCAAGCCATGCTGGGGACTTCGGTGGGGGTGGGAGGAGGATTGGGTCTGAGGAGCCCGTGAAGGCCACTGAGGTCATTGCCCTGCCTGTGTAAGAGGGCCACTGGGAATCGATTGGGGTCACTGGGTCAGAGTCCACAGCACTCCATGCCACTGGGCTCTGTGCTGGGGAAGGGTGGGTCAAGGAGGCCACCATCAGGGAGCACAAGGGGCTCAGCCCCTGCCCTGGGGCAGGGGACAGACAGCCAGGTAACATGAAGGCAGGATCTGGGGACTGGGGTGGAGGCTAGGACACATCCTAGCAGGGAGGCTGGGCCCCTACCTTATGAAGTCCAGAGACCGGGGAGCGAAGTGGGAGTGTACACTGAAGGTCATCCTTTAATCTCTGGGGTGGCAGGAGCTTTGAACAGAGGCCTCTCAACAGTGTGGTGGGTGGGCATGCTTGGGGAGGGCTTCCTAGAGGAAGTGACATTCAAGATGAGTCCTGAGCTGTCTCCAGGTCCCTTTACACGCCCCCTTGGCTCTTCCCACTTTACCTCCACCCCCAAGGCACCAAGTCCTATCCATTTTAGTTTAGAGATGTTTCCATCCCTATTTCCCTGCCACTCGCCTAGTTGTCTGCAGCCGTTTCCTACTATCCCATCCCGGGACTGCCTTCCACATCTACCTTGATGATGTTTCAAAGAGCAGAAGTAGTTATGCCAGCCCCTGCAGAAAGCCCACTATCCTCTGCAGCCTGAACTCAGTATCTGGTCCCACCTTCAGGCTCCTCCCTCCCTGGGCCTTTCTTTGTGCGGGCTGGTGGCTCTGCCTGAGATGCCCTTTCCCCTGTTCATTTTTCTGCCCCACCTCAAATGTCCTGTCCTCTGGGTCACCTCCTCCTCCTAAGTTTCTTCCCCAGGCATCACAGCTTCCATTGCGCATGGATGTAGATACAGTCACTATGCCCATTTTACAAATGAAGAAACTGAGACCCTGAATGGTTAAGTAACTTGCTCAAGGTCACATGGTCCAGAGCAGGCAGATCCGCCCAGCCTGCCTGACTCCCACCTCCCACCTTCTGTACCACAGCTCATTGTACTAGTTGGATCAGGGAGCAGTGATAGAAAGACTTGGTATTTGCTGAGTGAACTCATTTGATGAGTTTATTCGCAGGCATTCAAGTAAAAATTTCCAGGAGGGAGGTATTTGAAGGTTTGTGATTGAGGTTTGAGAGAGTGATCAAGGATCAAGGGATTTCCACGTTATATGCAGACAGAATAGAGCTGGAATCATGAGCATAAACTAGCTTTACATGGGGATCATGGCGAACCAATGTAAGCTGGGCACCGTCCTCAGTGTGCAGGTGGCAGCCACCTGGCCATCCGTCCTGAGGAGGGGAGGGAACAAGTGGAGATCCTTGGTTCAAGGCTGGCGGTTGACGCTTTGGGAGGGGAGGAGATGGCCCAGCATGTGGTGGGGCACGTGAAGGGGAGGAGAAAAAGGTGGAGACCAGGAACGGCTGTGGCCAGGGAGGTAGGTAGGAGGTGTTGACAGGGTCAAGGGAGGAGGGCTGGCAAGAAGGCTGGCATGGCCCTCCATACAGTCACTATGCCCATTTTACAAATGAAGAAACTGAGAAGGTCGGCAGTATTGAACAGAGACTGTCTCTGCTGGATTTGACAACATGGGGTTCCCTGATGACTCGAATTAGGAGGATCAGTCTTACACTATAATGGAATGTAGTCCAGAACTCTGAAGTCAGACAGCCCGGGTTCAATTCCCAGTTACTCCTCTTACTACCTGTGAAATTTGGGGCAAATCACATGAGCTTTGTGTGCCTCTCTTTGCTCCTCTGAAAAATGTGCATGGGCAGTAACAGTGCCCATAACCTGGGGTTGATTTGTCACGACAACAGGCTCCAGCGCCTGAGCTATGCCTGGCACAGTGGCTCATGCCTGTAATTCCAGCATAGCAGCAAAAAACAAAAAAAAAAAATCAATAAAAACAAAAACGAAAACCAGTAGCTCTTAATAATGAGGTTTTGAGAACTGACCACTCTGTCAATCAGAAGGGTTTGCTTTTGTTTTTTAAGACAGCATCTTGCTGTGTGTACCCATCACGGCTCACTGCAGCCTCAACCTTCCAGGCTCAACTGATCCTTCTGCCTCAACCACCCAAGTAGCTGAGACCACAGGCACGCACCAGCACTCATAACTTTCAAAAATATGTTTTTTAGAGATGGAGTCTAGCTATGTTTCTCAGGCTTGTCCTGAACTCCTGGGCTCAAGTGATCCTCTTGCCTCAGACTCTCAAAATGCTGGGATTACAGGCGTGAACCACTGCACCCAGCCCATAGCAGGTTTTAAGCTCTGTGGAGACAGCTGACATTTGCAGATAAGGTAGCAGCCCACACCTCAGTGTGAATGGCTGCCGTGTGGTTGACTTCCATTTTTTTCCTCCATAGGTCTTCCCCAGGCCACAAAGACAAGGAGGCTCCCTGCTCCAGAGAACTCCAGAGGGAACTGGCTGACGAGGAGGCCTTCAGGGGCCCCAACACAGATGATGAAAGGTAAAGTCAGACACTTCATTCCCAGAACATGGAGCCCATATACACCCAGCTGAAGGACTTCCATGGCCTCTGGTGCAATGTCAATGGATGCAACTGGGGCCAGAATGGTCCTGTTCCTGCTGTGCCCCCAGTGCCTGTTGTAGTGCAGTTCTTTAATGAATATCTGTTGAAAGAATGAATTAATGAATAAATAAATGAGGCTTGGAGGGGTGTAGGCCCCTGCCATGATTCCTCAGGGAGCCAGTTGCAGAGCAGGACCAAACTACAGGGCAGGCCACCCCCAGCTCCTGGCCCGTGCTGGGTTCCTTCCATTCCCCTGAAGCTTCCACATTCACTATGCTTTTACTGTAGGGTAAAGCAGTCCTGCCAATGGCTAGGGCAAAGCAAAACCACCTAGCTGGCAGTCTGGGAGACTCAGTGACCAAAGTATGCGGGCCCCCATAGAGCATGTGGCAGAGATTGTCAAGATGACCTGTGGACTATGGGAGACATTGTGGCAAGGGGTGAGGGGTCCAGGATGGGAAGTTGGAGCCATAGCAGTGGAGGATGAGTCCTGATGGGATGATTGTTCGAAGTCAGACCAGAGCCAAATATGTCTGGTGAGCAGTGGCTGCAGACTGGGCATTTCCTCAATGCAAACCTGGTGGCAAGTTACAGCTAAGAACCCACACACCCTTCTTCTCATTGTGCATCCCTGGAGCCCCCAGTTGGGACACTGAGCCCTGGGAATGAGGAAGGGGAGTCCTCTATGGCTTATTACCAGCCTCACATGCCTCGCCCCTTGCTCTGTTGGCAATCAGCCCCCCAAGCATCTGGCCTCCTCCCTATCTTCCACCTTGCTCCCAACCAACCCATCAGGTTTGTGAAAAACACATAAATACTTCCTGTTAGAGTCAACTTGGGCTTGCCTCAGCTCTGGTCAGAGCAACACAGAATAGCAGCCAAAGGCCTGTGCTTCTGGTCCTGAGGCCCACTGCCATGGCATCTGGGTTAGCTGAGATCAAAATGCAACCAGAGTCAGCAAATGCTCCTCTTCTCATAACAGGTCAAGTGCACAGTTGAGTGATGGCAATGTGGGATCCGGAGCCCCAGGCTCCCGGCCTGAAGGCGTGGCTGCAGTAGACATCGGCTCCAAGACAGGAAGGTGAGCTGCCCAGGGGAGGCATGTTCTCTCATGCCCCTGGTGACAGTCCAGGGTCAAGCTGCCAGGCTGCTTGGGCTGCTGCGGGTGGGCCACTGGTCACTTACCATGGCCCCTGTCTACTGCTTCTCTTACACTTCTGCCCTCCACCACATCCTATGTCCTTGGGCTTTCCACTTCTTGGAATCTTGTTCTTTTTTCTGACCCCTGCCACTGGCCCTCAAGCTTCTCCAGAGTGGGCACTAGGCTCACTCACAGCTGGAGCCCTCTCTCCTACATGGTGCTGGTCCTGGGCTGGTACAATAAATGCGTGGGGGATACATGAAGGGACAAACTAATGAGTGAATGATTTAATGATGGAAGAGTCGGAACCTTGTTACTTCTTGGTTTTGCTCTGAGGACCAGCTAGGAGGCCCTTTGCTCCTGCTTTGTCCCCTCTCCCCTTTTTCTGCCCCACACCTCCCCCAGCCAGCTCTGCTCTGAGGTTCAGGGTGAGGAAAAACAGCTGGACCTGGGCCACTTTCTCAGGTGATTTGGGGAGTGTCCCAAATCACTTGTCCCTAAATGGTTCCAAATGAAGCCTGAATCATCTTAGGGGCAAAGGCTAGGTATGCAGATGTTGGCATAAATAGTTTAGCTCCAAACTGTGCTAGAGCCCTTCTGGTTTAGAGAAGATGGCTAGGGAAGAGTGGCAAAGCCAGCGTCTGCAAAGAGCTACAACCGCAAGATACCATCTGCCTCCTGAATCCTACTGCAGTCTGGCCAAAGAGGGAGTCCTGTTGGGGAGACCCCACTGACTGCTTTCCTGCTTCCCTCAGCACACCTGGGCCCCTTTCCCCTCACTAACTTCAATAGTGTACAATTCATGCCTGGAGCTTGAGCCTGGCTTCTAAATCCAGGTCCACAAGTCAACACAGGAAGGGGAGAGCTGGTCCTGGCATCTGAAACCCGTGTCTCTGAGCAGGCAAGGAAAGGCCACCTAAGACTGTGTTCTTGGAGCTGCCACTAATGGGGAGGAGTGTGCTAGAGCCCTGTCCATGCAGCCTGCATCTTTTTACTGTCTGCAGAGGCATTGGAGGGATCTTTTAAAAATAAAGTTAGATCACATTTCTCCCCTGCTAAAACCTTCGAGTGGCTCTCCATTTGACTTAGAATAAAGCCCAAACACTTTCCCATGGCCCACTGGGTCCTGCGTGGCAGAACCCATGGCCGTCAATCCAGTCTGGGCTCCTACCGCTCTCCCCATGGTGGCGCAGCTTGACTGGCTTTGCTGACGGCTGTCACAGAAAAGACTTCTGGTCTCCCATGATTGTATGTGGGTCTTGTCTCCTCCACGTCACCCCCTCCTACTTATGCACCCTCATAACAAGAAGCCTGTGCTCTCCACTGTTCCGTAAAGTGAAACCACGCCTCAAAGTAGCTTGTAAAATTATCTGAAGAATCTTCTGGAATTTTTCTTTTTTTTTTTTTTGAGGCAGAGTCTCGCTCTATCAGCCAGCATGGAGTGCAGTGGTGCGATCTTAGCTCACTGCAACCTCCACCTTCTGGGTTCAAGCAATTCTCCTGCGTCAGCCTCCCGAGTAGCTGGGATTACAGTCGTGCACCACCACACCTGGCTAATTTTTGTATTTTTAGTAGACACAGGGTTTCACCATGTTTGCCAGGATGGTCCTGAACTCCTGACCTCAAATGATCTGCCCGCCTCGACCTCCCAAAGTGCTGGGATGACAGGTTTGAGCCACCGCGCTCACCCTAACCCAGTCTTTTACAGTTGTCTTACCTGTATAGTCGTCCCTAGGCATCTGTGAGGCATTGGTTCCAGAACCTCTCTCATATACCAAAATCCATGCATATTCAACTCCCTGATATAAAATGGTGTAGCATTTGCATGTAATCTATGCACAACCTTCTGTACCCCTTAAAACATCTCTAGATTAGGATAATACCTTATACAATGTAAGTGGTATGTAAATAGTTGTTATACTGTATTATTTAGGGAATGATGACAGAAAAAAAGCCTGTACATGTTCTGTACGGATGCACTCATTCTTTTAAAATTTTTCCCAAATATCTTTCTCTCCTCTCCTCTCCTGTCCTCTCCTCTCCTCTTCTCCTCTCCTCTCCTCTTTTCTTTTCCAGACAAGGTTTTTCTCTATCACCCAGGGCAGACTGCAGTGGAATGATCACAGCTAACAACAGCCTCAACCTCTGGGGCTCAAGGGATCCTCCAACATCAGCTTCCAGACTAGCTGGGACTACAGGCGTGTACCACCATGCCTGGCTAATTTTTGTATTTTTGGTGGAGACGAGGTTTCACCATGTTACCCACGCTAATCTCAAACTCGTGCGCTGAAGCAGTCCACCCACTTCAGCCTCCCAAAGTGCTGGGATTACAGGCATGAGCCACTGTACCCGGCCCCAGATCTTTTCAATCTGAAGTTGGTTGAATCCATAGATGTGGAACTCACAACACAGAGGGCTCACCGCATTTAGTTTGACAATGATTTTCAACAAAATCCTTTACTGTTTTTCCAAAGGAAAGGCTGTTTCTTGTGGAAACAACCACTTTTCTTTTCCATTCATTTTCACAGATTTCCTTAATCATTGAACTTAGTGATTCTTTCCCAGTAGTGGCAGCTCAAAGAACCAAGAACCAAGTCCCTGGCTGAGGGACCTTTGCCTGGACCTGCTTAGAGACACTGGTTTCAGAGGCCAGGGCCTGCTGTCCTCTTCTTGTGCAAATACAACTGGTATAAAGAGGTCTGGGACCAAACAAGAGGGCCTCTTAGTGAGTGGTCAGTGCAGGGCACAGGCTTGCAGAGGCAGTGATTGTTGAGCATGCTGTGAGCATCAGTCTGCCCGGTTTACAGAGACACAGAGAAGGTTGGGAAGGTTGAGTAAGAAAGTCCCCAATAAATCCGTATTGAATGGGTGAATACAGGTGGACTGGGAAGGGACACTGCTTCCACAAACAACCACAGGGCCCACTAGTAACAGGAACACATTAGCACTTATTACGGCCCGGGCATTATTCAAAGTACTTGGCATCTATGAACTCATTTACTTTTCTCAGAGTACTTACGCGACAGACATGATTATCATCCCTATTTCACTGATAAGAAAACTGAGGCCCAGAAAGGACAGGTAACATGCCCAAGGTCACACAGCTGGGAGATAGGAAAGCCATGATTTGAATGCAGGCAACGCCAGGGAGCAACCACTATGTCACAGAGCCCGAGGTGCCAGGCTGCCTTGAGAGATAAATATTGTGCCCCAAGTGTCCATTTGAGCATTTTCTTGGTCCTCATGATCTATCGGGGCAGGAGCCACTCTCTCAGGAGAGGGCAGACATACAGACACAGTCCTGAACCTGAACCGGGCCATGCTCAGCTGCTAACTTTGCCTCTTTCCTGGATGTGCACAGTGCCAAATCTCAGTCCTGCAAGCCTGGACCGGCAGCCATCAGGTAAGGGTAGGACAACTGCCCTAGTGCCCTATCCCATTGCCAGGCACAGCCTTCAGGGCTCAGCCTCAGCCGCAGCACCCCAAGGTCCCCCTCAAACTTCTCAGCTCCATGCCACTTTCACATCAGGTGATCACAGCAAGACAGGGAATCCCAAGGGGAGCCCTGACTAGGGGCAGTGGAAGAACAGGGACTGGTGATATGTCTGCTCACTCAGAGAGTCCAGCACCAACCTACATGGACCCAAGCTGAGGTGGCAGAGAGGAAGGCACTGGAAGGCAGAGCCTGGGAAAAGATCCTGCTAGGAGGTCTCAGGAACCTCTGCTGTTGGGACTACAGCTAGGTTCAGCAAGCAGGAGTCAGGGAGAAGATTCCCAGGGGCAGCCAGAATTAGAGGGCTCAGTCCCCAGGAGCATGCGATAGGTGGCTGGGATGGGCAAATGACTCCCGGGGCACAAAGGTATAATGGAAGAAGCTATGGATTCCCACGCTGTAGGCATCTGCCCTGTTTCACCCACCAATCCACCAGTGGGCATGGCCACTTTGCTATGGGTATGTGGAGCATTTGGCAAACCCTAGTGAGAAACAATCTTGACTCTCACAAACCCTAAGGAGGTATAGGTCAGGTAAGAATATGTCATGCTCAGGGTCAGGTTCCAGCCCCCGCTGAGGGCTGAAGGGAGCGGGTGGACATGGGGCAGGGAGCTGGAACTCGAGAGATAGCAGGTAAATGAGACATGGCTTTTTTCAGCAGCAGCTCTCTTACACAGCTTTCTCAAACTAGCTTTCTCATGAGCAGCTTTCTCTCACATTGTCTGCCCGGTCTCAGCTGCTTAGTCCAGAGGCCCCCTTGCCATCAGGGTCAGCAGCTTAATTCTTCCTCTCCCTGAGCACGAGCAGGCCAAGCTGTGTCCTGGCTACACTGTGTCCATCTGCAAAGATGAACAGCTCTTATTGTCTCTCTTTCTCTGGATGCCCGCGCACCCGCCATGTCAAGCCGAGCTGACATGTTGAGCTGAGCCGAGCCCCAACAGCCCAAGAGCCATGTCCCCCGTGCACAGCGTCAACAGGGCAGTTATACCTTTTACAGACAATTGTGGCTTAGAGCCAAGTATGAACTTAAACAGGTTTTATAACAAGTGGAGGTATGCACTTGCACGCCGGACTCACTGAGTCATGTAGGCCTGGATATCTCCCTCCGCCTATTCCTTGACCAAAGAACATCCATGTACCTTACAGGATACTAGAACCAAAAACCAGGAGAATTCCCCAGGGAACCAAAGTTGGTCAAGTGCTAAGGCCATGTTCAAAGCTGACACGAGGTTGTCACACACAGTGGCATCAGTGCCACACTAATGCCAGGACTGACACCAGCCTTTACTGGAAGACACAGTTCCTCCCTTTCTGGTGAGAAGGCAGCCTAGAGGGGGAAGACCTAGGCCGCAACCTCCTTTGGTTTGAGATCTCAGCAGGCCTGTGTTTCCTTCCTCAGCTCCAGTGCCGCTTCAGTCTCTGCTGTCCCTGCTGATAGGAAGAGCAACAGCACAGCAGCCCTGGAGAATGCAAAGGCAGACCCAAAGGGGTAAGACATGAGCAGACAGTGCCAAGCTTCTTGGGTGCAGAGAGGCAGCTTAGGCTGTGTGTCCATTGGCCTTTGGTTGGGAAGGTGAGGCCAGGAAAGTTTGTGAGCTGCTCTGAGGCACATAGCAAAGGCAGAAGCCCCAACTGGAACCCTCTTGCTTCTGGGGCCAGGGAGCTTTCCACGAAACACTATTGCCTTGACCAGGATGTACCCCATAGTCAGAAAGGATCTTTCAGTCAGCAACCACTCTGACAGCACCTGCCTTTTACTGGACGCTGATGCACACAAACAAATCAGAAACACCGCTGCCTTCCAGGAGCTCTCAGGCAGGGTAGTGGGCAAAGTCTGGTACAGATTAGAGCAATACACCAGCGCTAGAGCAGGGGAAGGGAACTTCATGGGAAGGTGGCTTTTGAATGGAATGTTGACAGGTGAGGAGGAGTCCTTCAAGCAGAGGGAACAGGATACGCAAAGGGCTCAAGAGATCCTGGTGTTTCCTGGGCACTGTATGTAGCTGGGTGTGGCCAGCGATGAGTGTCCTTGTGGGGGAGTGCTGGCAGAGGAGGCTCAGTGAACTAGGTAGGGCTTGATTGGGCCTTTGTGCTGTGATATTGGAGCCTACTGTGTGTACAGCCCTCTACTCACAGTATCTCATATAGTCCTCTTCACAGTCTCTCAAAGGTTTATGCCTAATTACAACAAAACCCAAAAGCCTGGAGCCTATGTCTCTGTGCCTCCTGGGAAGGATAGTGCTCTGAGGAAAACAGCCACAACTGAGATACAGTGATGGTGGTGAGGAGGGTGGAAAAGGCAACTCAGGCGAGCTCCTCTAAAGAGGAGAAGGAGCCAACTCTACAAACAGCATGATGGAGGGAGCTGTAGATAAGGAACCACAAACCAGATACCCTGAGGTGGGACAGAGTGGCTGGAGCCTGGCCGGCAAGGAGGGGCATAGATGGAGCAGGGCCTTGGTAAGCCATGATTAAGAGATAGGATCTTATTTCAAGTTTTAAGCCAAAAGGGAGCCTGATGTGATTTAGGTGTTTAAAAGGTAAATGCATGTTTGCATTTTCACACCACATTGCTGTTGCTATTTTATTTAAACCAAGATGCTGGTGGCTGGGGTAGGCAATGGATCTCTAAGGTGTGGGGTCTTATTCTGTTTCTTTTCTCTTTCAAATTGCACTGACAATTAATAATCAGAGTGAAAACAGTAGCTGACACCAATACTGTGCTGTTCTAGATGCCTTACAGCCTTCTTAGCAACCCTGTGAGATGAGTGAGGTGGGAAACTGAAGCACAGAAAGATTAAGTGAGTTAGCTAAGGCTTTACAAGTGGCAGAGCTGAATTCCAAGGGAAGAGGCTCTAACAAAATCCTCAGGAGAAACAACGAAAAACTACTTTATGAAATCTTGTCTTTGGAGCCTAGTCTCAAGACCCAGAATCAGTAACTTAGAGCTGGTTAACATGTTTAACATGCTGTGTGATCGCACTTAATTCTCCCCAAACCTGGAAAAGGATAAGGCTTCTTAGTATGCAACTTGACAGAGGAGAAGATTGAGGAACTCACTCCTGTGATGAACACACCTATGAACAGAGTCCATTTCCAGCCAACGCTAGAGCCAGGCTCAAACTACTTTCCTCTGACGTTTAAATGTCTACAAAATCAGACTCTCTCTCTCTCTCTCTCTTTCTGAGATGGAGTTTCACTGTTGCCCCAGCTGGGGTGCACTGGTGTGATCTTGGCTGACTGCAGCCTCTGCCTCCTGGGTTCAAGTGATTCTCCTGCCTCAGCCTCCTGAGTAGCTGGGATTACAGGTGTGCACCACCATGCCTGACTGATTTTTGTATTTTTAGTAGAGACAGGGTTTCACTATGTTGGCCAGGTTGGTCTCGAACCCCTGACCTCAAGCAATCCGCCCACCTTAGCCTCCCAAAGTACTGAGATTACAGGCATGAGTCAGTGTGCACAGCCAATACAGACTTTCTTGATTACGGTGTTTCACAACTCTGGCTGTACTTGATAATCAACTAGGAAGTACTGAAACACATTGCTGATGAAAAAGGCCATTCTCTGTAAAATATATGAAGAAATTCTGAGCCAAATGTGAGGACCATGACCTGAGAGCATGTTCAGTTACAGCTTGGTTTTATATGTTTAGGGAGACATAAGACATTAATCAATATATGTGAGGTATACATTAGTTAGGTCCAGAAAGGCAGGACACCTCGAAGCTGGGATGTGATGGGGGTGGGAGTGGGGTTCCAGGTCATAGGTGGATTCAGAGATTTGCTGATTGACAATTGGTTGAAAGAGTTGCTATTATCTAAGGACCTGGAATGAATAGAAAGGAATGCCTGGGTTAAGATAAGGGGTTGTGGAGACCAAGGTTCTTATATAGATGAAGTCTAATAGGTGGCTGCCCTTTGAAGCAATAGATGGCAAATGTTTCTTTTTTTTTTTTTTTTTTTTTTTTGAGACGGAGTTTCGCTCTTGTTACCCAGGCTGGAGTGCAATGGCGCGATCTCGGCTCACCGCAACCTCCGCCTCCTGGGTTCAGGCAATTCTCCTGCCTCAGCCTCCTGAGTCGCTGGGATTACAGACACGTGCCACCATGCCCAGCTAAGTTTTTGTAGTTTTTAGTAGAGACGGGGTTTCACCTTGTTGACCAGGATGGTCTCGATCTCTTGACCTCGTGATCCACCCGTCTCGGCCTCCGAAAGTGCTGGGATTACAGGCGTGAGCCACCGCGCCCGGCCGGCAAATGTTTCTTATTGAGAACTTTAACGGGTGCTAGACTCTCAGCTAAACTCTTGAGATCAGAAAAAGTCCTGGAAAGGGAAGGAGATTCTCTACAAAATGTACATTTCCCCCAGGAGAGACAGCTTTGCAGGGTAATTTCAAAATATGTCTATATATATATACGTGTAAAATGCTTCAATTTCTTTCATTACCTGCTCTCTGTCATGCTATACTAGACTCAAGTTGGAATTTGGCATCTTATTGCTTCAAGGAATCTGTTTTGTCAGTCTGAATCTCTCTCTCAATGTTAATGCTGGTCAATTGTGCCTAAATTCCAAAGGGAGGAGAATATATTGAGGCATGTCCGACCTTCCCCTTTCTCATCATGACCTGAACTAGTTTTTCACGTTGTGTCCCCTTGGCTGAGAGAAGTGTCAGTTGGGGAGCTCAGAATTTTATTTTTGGTTTACAACACAACAAAAACTTTCCTAAAGCCCCAGATAGAGATTTGGATATTATTTTTCTGGGGAGGGTCGCCATCATCTGTGTCTTTTTCAAAGCTCCCCAGTTTAATCTCCTTCCAGGCTAGGTTGAGAACCGTTGTTCTCAGTGAATGGTTCTGAACTAGGAGGAATCTCCCAAACCTTCCAGCCTGCTACGGCACAATGTCTGGGAGCCATTTTTGGTTGTCAAAATCGAGCAGGAGATACTACTGGCTTCTTATGTATAGATATCTTGGATGCTGCTAAATATACAGTGAACAGGATAGCACCCGCTCACACACCACAGAATTAATCTGCCTCAAACTGGTAATAGTGCTGAGATTGACAACCTCTGCTCTAGAGCTTTCACGATCTCTTTGAGAAAACATAAGGGATGGGAGAGAAAAATGGATGAAACACAGCGGCATCCCTTGGCTTCCCCAGGTTCTGGGTAGCGGGCGTAGGACGTGTGCGCCTGCACGAATGCGCACTCTCCACCAGCGTACGCGACGCGTGCGTGCCAGTGCACCTCGGCGAGCGCGCGCCCGTAGTGAGTGCGCCTGCGCATGCCGCCATTTCTTGCAGCCGCGAACTCAGTCGCAGCGCCCGCCGGGAAAATGCGACCGTTCACAAAGCGAAATGGCCGCCGGGGCGTGCTCCGCCTCGGTGGGGATTCTCATGAGGCCGTGCCCGCGCCGGCCGCCAGAGGGCGCCCAAGGATCACGAATGGGTCCGAGGCGCTGGCTGCCCGGTCTTATGTGCAAGGTCTGCAGCCGCGGCCGTAGTGGCCTTGGGGTGACCGCGCGTGGACCGTCGCCGGCGGAAGGAAGCGCGGTTCCGCGAGGGACTGAACGGGGCTCCTGAGGCCTGAGATTGTTTCTTAGGGAGCCCTGGCGGCCATGGCTTCTGGAACACCGGACACAGGTCTTCAGGGCTGTCCAGTGGAAGTGGGTGTGGACGTGAGGACAGGGAGGGCAACTGGACCGTCCAACCACGCTGGGCCCTCGGGCTGACTGCGCTGGGCTATGGGGTCAGTGAGGAGGGGTTTCCTTCCCTAGTAGTTTGATGACGGAGCGCCATGGGGGTGGCGTTATCCTGTCATCCTGCAGGGCAGTGGAGACTTACTTTCCCTAGGTTACTGCTGGGGTCTCACCCGCAGACCCAGTATTGCACGACGGATGAATAACATACACTGACACAGATATCTTACCTGTCAGTCCTACTAAAGGTCTCTGCTCCTTAGTCTGCAGCGTGGCCTAGATTGGCAAAGTTCACATTTATTTAGTACAGATTAAATGACAGAGGTCGTGAGTAAAGACTACTAGAGGGTAATTAACATTACTGACCCCCCGAGTAGAGAGCAATCATGCACCCGCGGATGGTTAAAGGTTAGTCTTTGGACCACATGAGTAAAGAAGCTATTTACATAGACTCCTTTACATTCCTTTGTTATTTGCTTTTCTGCTATCAACTTAAGGTAAAGAGAATAGGCTGCCTTCAGCCAGATCTTTTACTGAAACTATGCAAACCCCCTGGCCTTCCAAGAAGGTTTGTGATTATTTTCTATAACTTTACAATTTCTCCCACCATCCTGACTGAACCCCCACAGGTTACAACACAATTTCAACTGTCCCAAACTGTAGGGACCCTGCTCTATTCTACCTTGGGCTACCCCATCACACTATAGGGAGAGAGGGTATGGTTTGTGGTTGAGAGCCTGGACTCTGGTTCTTTGGGTTCCAATACAAGCTCTGTCACTTAGAAGCTCCGTGGCCTTGGGCATGTTACTCATCTCCTCTGTGCCCCAGGTTCCTCATCTGTAGAATAGTGGTAATCATACTTCCTACCATAAAGGGTTGTTGAAATGGTTAAATGAGTTTGTATATGTAAAGCATGTAGGATATTTAAACCTGTGAGCTAAGTGAAGCAGCACCAGAGGAATACCTCCTCTCTCAGAGGTGTTCAGGGACACCTAGAAAGCTGACTTTGTCAGCTTTATTGGCTTGATTTCATTTGACAAGACACAATATCCCATCTCCTTCCTACTAAACTTTTGTCATCAAATTTTACATCTAGAACATGCTGTTTTCCTCATTATGTTGCCAGCATGGGCTTCTCAAGCTTATGTTTTTTCTGCATGAGGATCAGGTGAAGTTTAGCCACCACATTTCCTCACCACTGGCAACGTTGTTGGCCAGTGGAGGAGCCTAGCGGAGGTAGTACAAGAGTGGGAGTATCAGCTGGGTGCAGTGGCTCAGGCCTGCCTGTAATCCTATACTTTGAGAGGCCGAGGCACGAAGACCAGTTGAGTTCTGGGGATTGAGAACAGCGTGAGCAACATAGTGAGACCTCATCTCTACAAATATTTATATATATATTAAATATATATAATGTATATGATACATATTTTCATATATGTTGTGTGTGTGTGTGTGTGTGTGTGTGTGTTTGAAACAGTGTTTCACTTCTGTCGCCCAAGGCTGGAGTGCAGTGGGGTTGATCTCAGCTTACTGCAGCCTCTGCCTCCCAGGCTCAAGTGATTCTTCTGCCTTTACTTCCCAAGTAGCTGGGACTATAGGTACACCCCATTGGACCTGGCTAATTTTTGTATTTTTTGTAAAGATGAATTTTTGCCGTGTTTCCCAGGTTGGTCTCAAACTCCTGACCTCAACTGATCCACCCCCTCTGCCTCCCAAAGTACTGAGATTACAGGCATGAACCACTATGCCAGGAGTACAATTTTTTTTTTTTTTTTTTTTGGTCAAGAAGGGAAGTGTGTAGAGTTAGGAACTGACAGTGGCTGTACTAGGCTACTGGATCTCTGGTTCACTTACATTCAGAAGGAAAGGCTTCAGAGAAATTAATCGCAAATCCAAGCCCCATTGGTCACCATCCCATGTGTTACCTTGCCTATCTTTAACCACTTGACTTCCAGGCAGTTCATGAGTGGTTCAGACAGGATAGCTGGGAAGTCATTCCCCTGGATGTTACATTGTCCAGCAGAGCTTCCTGTGAATGTTTGCCTAAGATTTCCTTTTTATGACCCACATAGGTCATATCTCCTAAACAGGCCTAGGAATGAAGAAGCCTTGTTCATCCATTTGTCCTTGTGTCACAGTGGAGCCCAAATTTCCCTTTGTGGAGAATCCTCGCTCTATCCACAAACTTGGTGAGGGCAACCTCTACTAGACTATTTCTACAGAGGACATGGGACAGGGCGAGACTCTGATAAAATCCATAGTAAAGCTAGCTCAGGGCTATCACTGGAGGGAGACAAGCTCTTCAGGCCTTGTATGTTTGTCTTTGGCTCAAGCAAGCATGTCACTGACAGTGATAAAGTGGGTGTGTCAGGGCAGCCTGCTGGCAACCCTGGGACTGGTGTTACCTGTGCAAACCACTGTTGGCATCTACATGGGCTGCAGCACACCGTAAGGGAGGAAGCTGCACAGAGAAGCACAGGTCCCATGGGAGGGCTCCCCACAGTTACTGTATGGCGGCACATTCACTTGCCTGCAGTTCTGCCTGGTGCAGCTGGAGGTGGCAGTTAGCTTGTTGTCGCTGCTGGAGAATTTTAGTTCCCCACCTCCACCTGAGGCTGAAGAATCACATTGCTTTCAGGGCATACTTTCCAAAAAGTGTGGCCACTGTTTGCCTTGTTATTCCAGCTTGAAGGCTGTGAGTCTGCATAGACAAAGTTAACTCCTATATATAAAGAGTCCCAGGGTAGTTGGTAGTGTGTTCTTGTCCTGGGAAGTCCCCACTAGCTATTGAAGGCAAGCTGATAATATTGGGAAAGTTACATTCAGAGTGATCTAGGATTGAGGTGATGGTGAACTAGATTTTCATTCTGAAATGCTGGGCTCATGCTCTTAGTAACCCAACTTGGTGTTTGCCACTGGCCTAGTAGACTCTGGAAGCAGTACCTTGCACCTCGGGGCGGGGCTGGTGGTGGGAGGGGTATGCAAGTAGAAAATCAACTAGCAACCTGTTTCCCATGGCACCCAGCCTTGAGGGTGCAATGCAAGCATGGGGTGAGGCCAGGGAAGACCCATGCAGAACTGGATGCCTGAGACATCTGGGGATGCCCTGCCCTTTTTGCTGGATTCAGGGGTGGCAAAAGCCAAAAATTGGAGGGCCAGGTGCAGTGGTACATGCCTGCAATCCCTGCACTTTGGGAGGCCAGGGTGGGAGGATTGCTTGAGACCAGCCTGGGCAACTTGGTGAAACCCCATCTCTACAAAAATTAAAATAATAAATAAATAATTAGCTGGACGTGGTAGTGTGGACCTGTAGTCTTAGCTACTCGGGAGGTTGATACAGGAGGATGACTTCAGCCTGGGAGGCAGAGGTTACAGTGAGCCGAGATGGTGCCACTGCAGTCCAGCCTGGGCCACAGAGTGAGACCCTGCCTCCAAACAACAACAATCACAAAAGCATCAGAGGTGGCTGGGTGCAGTGGCTCTCGTCTGTAACCCCAGCACTTTGGGAGGCTTAGGTGGGCGGATCACCAGATCAAGAGATCGAGACCATCCTGGCCAACATGATGAAACCCTGTCTCTACTAAAAGTACAAACATTAGCTGGGCGTGATGGTGGGCACCTGTAATCCCAGCTGCTTGGGAGGCTGAGGCAGGAGAATCGCTTGAACCTGGGAGGCAGAGGTTGCAGTGAGCCGAGATCATGCCACTTGCACTCTAGCCTGGTGACAGAGCCAGACTCCATCAAAAAAATAAAAATGAAAATAAAAAAAGCATCGGAGGCTTCAGCTTCATCTGTTACACATGGAGGCCTTTTCAGTGAAAAGGGAGCAGTGGTGCTGGGCTCCTACCAAGGAGGAAACTGTCTGCTCCCTGGAATGGGGGCTGTGCCTGGCTCCTTTCTGCCCCACTTTCAGGGAGATAAGTCCCTCCAAGTCCACAGGAGGTTACAGCCAGCCTGCATGCTGCGGCTGAGCCAGGGTTAGTCTCAGAGCACTTGCCTCATAAGGGTGCTTATTCTTCCTCAGTGTCTTGGCTGATTATGAGGAGAAGAATGTAGCCACCAAGGCCAGAGAGACCTGGCAGGAGAGCCCTGGAGCCCCAGGAGGTGGCCAAGGAGACCCAGCTGTACCCACTCAGCAACCTACAGATCCCAGCACCCCAGAGCGGCAGAGCAGCCCCAGTGGATGTGAGCAACTCGTTGGACAAGAGAGCTGCGCCAGCAGGTAAGGGCTGAGCTGCACTGGGCTCTGCCTCTAGAGCCAGTGTTTTTATTGATGTCTGCAACCCGGGGAGGAACGACTTCCCCACACCTCGTACCAGTACCTGACACATTGTGCACCCAGGTGCCTGGGCTCCTGTTCCGTGAGTGGGTAATGGTAGTGATTCCCTGGGAGTAGAGCACTATCCTTGTGCTTCCTGTGGCTCAAGGAGCTGGGAGGGAACTGTGACAGGAGGATGTGTCTGTCCCCAGGTGTGAGAAGTCCGGGCTAATTCCCAATGCATGGGACAGAAAGGAAGGCTGTCTCCCAGAGTCCAGATGCTCTACAGGGGGCGTCCTGGGAAGGGTAAGGGCTATTTGTGTGGGTAAAATGACATTGTCAGAGAAGGACAGAGTGTGAAAGAGCAAAAAAGAGAGGGTAAAAGTGCAGAGTGACAGAGTGAAGCAGAGAGAGAGAGAGAGGCCAGAAGGAGAGAAAGGGAGCACATGTGAGGAGGCATGAGAGAGTGAGAGAGTGACGCAGGATGCGGTGGCCATGTGCAGGTGTGTGCAGGTGTGTGCAGGTGCATGAGCAGGAGGACAAGCGTGCCTGTGCCTGTAGCTGACCATGTGGCATTGGTGTGAGAGTTTCGACTCAGGCTCTCTTGAAGGCATCTCGCCTACCAGTGCCAACACTACACGTCCGTACAACTCTGGACATGTCACCAGGCCAGTGATTCTGGGGCTGGAAAGCGAACAGTTTCTTACACAAGATAGAAATGTAGAAGGAGAGAGCTAAGACTCACATTGCCCCAAGAGAAAGGACTTGGTGGAGTCCAGCAACACATCTGCTGGGGGGAGCAGGTGGGGCCTGGGGCTCCTTTTGCAGGGATGAAATAAACACGGTCATCCACCTTCTTTGTTCTGGGGCTTCTTGTACCACAGAGGTTCCATAATTATTAATAGTTAGACCGGAGGTTATTTTTAGGGCCTGGCTCAACTGTTAGATAACAAGTTTTGCCTTTTAAGAATATCTAACCGATCTTTGATTCCTTGGCCCCAGGCCCTGAAAGGGCCCAGTCCAGAGACACGGAGTGAACAACTTTGGTTTTTCAGGGGGAGTGTCAAGAAAGGCTTTCTTTACAGGGAGACTGATGTTGGAGTTGGAAGGCTGAGGGAGACTTTGCCAGATGGATGTGCTTGGGAAGGCATTGCAAGTAGAGGCTCACAAAAGTGCACGGGGAACATTCAGTCAGGGTAGCCATAGCAAAGGATGGTTAATCCAGCCTGGCTTGGCAGAAAGCACTGAGTGGGGGCTGTACAGGCCCTTGCTCCTAGGCCAAGGAGCATGACCCACATCCTGTGGGGCCTGGGAGCTACGGATGGTTTTCATGTAGGAGAGTGCCACAGCCAGACTTGAGTCCAAAGAAGATCCCTCCATTGTCCTGTGGAGGATTAGGCCAGGGGAGTGTACAACAAGACAAGGCAGGAGACTGTCTACACCAGGAGTGAGGTGATAAGGCTACAAGTAGTTTTAACTTATTAAAGGTAAAAGTGGACTTGGTGTGGTGGCTCATGCCTATAATCCTAGCACTTTGGGAGGCCAAGGTGGCAGTATCACTTGAGCGCCCAGGAGTTTGAGACCAGCCCGGGCAACATAGCAAGACCTGTTTATACAAAAAATTTGGCATGTGCCTGTAGTATCAGCTACTTGGAAGACTGAGGTAGGAGGATTGCTTGAGCCCAGGATGTCAAGGCTACATGGAGCCACGTTCCTGCCACTGCACTCCAGCCTGGGTAACAAAGCAAGATCCTGTCTCCAAAACAAAAATTAAAGAAATAAAGATAACAGTGAGGGAAAAGTGGTAGCCAAGGCTGCTCCCCAGATTTCAGGGCTAGGCAATTGGATAGATGGTGACAGGAACTAGCTGAGGGTGAGGAGGTTGTGGGCAGGGATGCTGAGAGATGCAAAGATGATAAGGTCATTGGGCCATGATGAATAAGAAGTGCCTGCAGGGGCTCCAGCCAATGATGTCCAGTAGGCTACGGAGTAGACAAATCTGGAGTTGAGCAAAGATCTGACCTGGGGCTAGAGAGCTGGGAGTTGCCAGCTCATAGGAAGTTACTGAAGGGAATGGATGAGGTTGCCTGGAGAATACCTTTGGAAGCCAGTATGCATAAACCATGTGTTCTCTGCTTTTCTCTGCAAGCTTCCAGGGCCACTTGTCCAGCCAGGCCCTTGGCTGGGTGGGTAAGTCCACGTGATTCAGGGATGCCGAGGGAGGCTTCCTTTTGGGGTATACATCTATAGCCATCTGCTTCATCAGCTGACATTTATCTCCATTTTCTCTATTTTTTGTCTCAAAAAGAAAAAAAGAGGGGGTATTAATTATTGATCCCCTAAAACCCTAGCTGAATATATGAAATGAAAAGAAGTAAAAATATGAGGGAAGCAAAGGAAAATAATACTGAAAGGTCCTAAGGATGAAGAGGAGCTGCAAAGAGGTATTGAGAAGGAAATGTTTGGATAAATGGAAGAATCAGGAAAGACTATAGTCATGGAAACCAACCCACACTGAGCTAACTTTCCAGTGCACTGCAGATCCTAAAATAAGCCCATCAGATTTGGCGATGTGGAACGCATGACTGCCTTGATGGGAGTAGGTTGGGGCAGTGAGAAAGGCTGTAGTTGGATTATAATGGATTGAGGAGGGAGTGGAAGATAAGGAGGTGTAGTTGGTGCGGTACACAACTCTCTGAAATTGGCCATGATGTGATGGATGTGGGAGGGGTGCGTAGATAATTACAGCTACAAGATAATGGAGAAGGTTTCCTATAGGTGAAAGCGACATGTGCATGTTAGGTAAAGGCTCAGCAGAGGGTGCCTATGTGACCAGTCCCCAATAAAATCTTTGGATTCTGCGTCTAATGAATTGCCCTGGTCGACAGCATTTCACACATGCTGTGACAACTCACTGCCGAGGAGAACTGCGTGCATCCTGCGTGACCCACTGGGAAAGGACTCTGGAAGCTTGTTCCTGGGTTTCCCCAGAAATTTGCCTTAATACTTTTTTCCCTTTGCTGATTTTGCTTCGTATCCTTTCACTATAATACACCATGGCCTTGAGTATGACAGTGTGCTGTGTCCTGTGAGTTCTCCTTGTGAACCACCAAACCCAGGGATGGGCTTGGGGACCCCTGACACAGATGGGCAGGATTGGAACTTCATGCCATAACAAGGACTTTAGATATTCTTTCAAGGGCAAAGAGGAGCCAGGAAGTTTTGAAGCAGATAATGATCCAGTGAGAGTTTTGCTTTGCAGTGGGATCTTCAGTGGCACTGAGAAGAGTGGACTGAAGTGGGCAGAGTGGAGACAGGGAGAATAGGAAGTGGCTACAGAATCCTCCACATAAGAAATTATGGGGCTGGACTAGGGTCCTAGCTGTGGAGATGGAGATAGAGAAAACTGTAAAATAAGTAGAATGGATCCCAAATTGGATGACATATAAGACTTGGGAGGGCAGTGAGGGAGAGGGAAGCGACAATTTAAAAAACCACATTTCTGGTCTAGTGACTGAGTGGAGTATGTGACCCCTCCTGGCTTAGGGGAGGCCAAAGTATCTCTAACCTGCCACTATGCTGCCTGCAGCAGACTGAGCAAATGCCTGGTCCATGGAGATCCCAAGCTAACAAGGGCACCTGAGGCAAGCCTCTGGCCTTCAGGTGGAGGCCCTGCCTAGGCTGGCCTGGCTGCATTGCCTTGGCACACTGTGCTGTGTTTCCGAGGTGGACAGCAGCACTCTGCAAGTACCCTTCTCCTCTTCCTCTTAGTGGTCTAAATCCTTAGCATGCCGGAGTGCGACTGTAGACAAATCCCCTTTCCAGACCTGCTGAGTTCTCTGTTTGCAGTCTTTGGGTCTGGTTGCTGGCATGGCATCCCAGTAGGCTAGGTTCGTCAGGAAGTGTCAACTATGTTATGCCACTTGATGGGCAGCATTCGGAGTCTATGGACCAGGGGCTTAAGGGCTGCTTACTGCTAATAATTCTAAGTAGCAAGCATTCCCTCAGCCCTAGTCTGAGCATACACTAGGAAGGAAGACACTAGATGTGCTTTCCTAGTGGATAACTAGCCTGGAGTTCCAAGAAGGGCAGAGGCAGGCAGAGTGAGAGCCTTCAGAGATGTAGGCAATGATAGTAGCAGAACTTCAAGGAAGAGTAGACGGAAAAATAGAAAAAAAATCCTTGTCATTATTTTTAAATGTCTGAATTGACCAGGTTCAAATCTTGGAGAGTCTAGACGCTAGGAAGTTCTCATGGGTAGGCCAGCTATTATTTCGTATGGGGGGACAGTAGGTATCACCCAGCACAAGAGGACCAGAGGTCAGTCAGTGCTAAGGATAAAACCTTAGGCCATGGGAGATTGAGTTTTTCATCAATTTGGCAAGCTTTCATTTTAATACTCCATTGGTTCCATCATTTCAGATGACTGGGGATGATAAGGACAATGTAATGGGGGATAAAGGAAGAACTCATTATATCTCTTGAATGATTTTACTGGGGAAATGGATTCCTTAGTCATTTGAAAGAAGTGGTAGAATTCCCCACATGGGGAAATACTTGTTCTAACAAAAGCTTAGTGACATTAGTGGCAATGTTCCTTTTATGTAAGGGAAAGCTTCAAGCCAGCGAGAAAAACATAAATATCCTAGTAAGAACATATTTATAACCATGAGATTTGGGTGCAGAATAAAATGAAATTGGAAGTTAAAGAAAGGTCCTAAACGTCTGTATATTAACAATATTCCATTGGTGAGCAATGTGAATTTCCAATGGAAAACCACTGGCCTAGAATATGCTGGATACAAATCAAAGAAGCAAAATTGCAATGAAGTTTACGTTTTAAAAAATAATTGACATAATGACTGATAACCTTGTATTGTTCTTGTCTAATATAAGGTAAAGCGGCACTGGGGCTGTGATAAAGAGCAATATCTCATGTACACTGAGGACACAGAAAACCCACT